GACCACTTGGTCCTCCGGTACTCCTCAGCTGCCTCTGGAGTCCCACCAGCCAACAAGGACCAATAGGACCCTTCTTCAGCTTGACAGCCTCCCTGACCCGGGGTGTCCACCACCAAGTTCGTGGATGGCCACCACGAGAAGCACCGACAACCTTTCAGCCACAGCTCAAGGCAGATACTTCAACCATTGAGGGTTTTAGAAATAAACTATTTTCTGTGAACAGTTTGTAACACTGCACTTGACCATTTCTGATTGAATCTACTGGAGCAGACACCAAAGTCCATGCTCAGGTATAAAATCCAACAATGTTCACGCAGGTCATCTGGACGGTTTCTTTTTTATTATTGTGCTGAGACGTTTCACCCTCCATCTTCTGGAGTAGACTTTTGAGGTAAAGGTCAGACCTGGACCAGTTTTTAAAGTGGGTCATCAGCGTGGCTTTTGGACCTGGTGTTCTCTGTCAGATCTCAGTGCTCTGGACACCAAGGTTGCTTTAGAAGAACCATCTGCTAAATAAAAGCCTCTGGTGTCCATTAGAAGTGGACGTCTTTTCTGTCCCTCGTCTGAGACGTAGTTTAATTCTGTCTTGCATCAACTTTCTGTTCTGTGAGCTGTCAGTGACGGGGAGTGAAACGATTCTTCACCTGTGCTCCTCACTGCAGCTCGACGTCACTTTGCCTCGTCACCGTTAGTCCTCGAGTCTCCTCAGGTGGACTCAGAGGAACTGGAAGAAATGAGACGTGTAATAAACTGAGCGGAGGCGCCGGAGTAAAGAGACGAAACGCGACGTGTTGCCGGCTCGTTAGTGGCTGTCGCTCAGGGTTTGATTTGATCAGAGACCACGAGCCAACCTGAGCGCCGGCACTTTGATCCTCTCGCCTGTCGTTCATCACCACATCCCACCGCACCTGTTCTCCGTGTCGTCTTCATCGGCCTTCAGAGCCGTCTCCAGTTAGGCGACTGGGGTCGGGGGGGTTGATTGAATAAAATGTTGGTAATGGGTCTTCATTAATGAGTTGGACCAGAAAACGTCCTTGAGGTGTTGTGTTGTTCTTGGAACCAAATAACGACTTAATGATGCTGAGAACGTTAGAAAGGCTCTGATCCAAGCGTGCGCAGAAACCACTGATCTGTCTGTGCCAAGTGCAAACTTCACACGGTGTGCAGGAACAAAACAATCATTCGGTTTTCTTGTCTGTGTTTTCGGTGCACGTGGGACTAATTCTGTTCAGAACGAGCTGCGTTTCACAGCTTTTTATGAGCTTATTGTCACGAAGCTGTGGTGTGAAGCCGTCAGTGAATCCCCCACACGCTTGTCCGTCTTTTCAAAGTCAAATCCACGAGACGGACTCGCTTTTAGAAAAACAACGACCTTCTCGATGTCGTCGAGCCGAGTCCTCGGAGCCGAGCAGCGACGGGGACAGATTGATGGATCACCGTAAGAAGACCGTTTTCAAAATCTTTAACCGTCTCTCTGTGTTGTCGACGATTAGAGGAGACACGATGAGTTTGTTGCCAGGAATCTCGGTGCCCGTGTGTCAGAACCTGATTGGGTTTTACGTTGGGTCATTCTTCACTCGTCTCCTCTTCATCGCTCGACTTCAGCTCTTTATTTTTCACCCCACCAGCTGCAAGTGGGTCATTTATAAAGATGACATGTAAAAAGTAGCTGTCACAACGTGAAGGTGGACCGTTCAATGTGTCTGTGTGTTCACGTGTCACTGTTAGCAAAATATCCATGAACATCTGGAATGTCTAGAACAAAAAGTGGCTCCGTTTGACAGATGTGCAGCTAAAGTTTGTGTTAATGAAACGCGAGCACTCTTCTTACAGCAGCTCCGTCGCCTACATGACACCAAAACGTCTTTGTGTTGCACAGCTCCTCTGGGCGTTCACGTGCACACGTTCACAGCCAGCGTGGAACAAATGTGAAGACCAGACGAGCACGACAGATGTCAGCGTGCGCCTGACGAGGCCAGATCTCTCTGCGGCACCTCGAGCTCCTTCTCTGCAGCTTCCTGAGGGTTCCAGCTGCTTGTTGCTGGAACAGTCCCTGCAGTGACACACACTGCATAAAACACCTCCCTTCACACGGCCATTAACCGCTGCTCCCCCGTACCGCTCTCTGCTGAGCGCCGCTGCTGCATGGCAAGCAGGCGGGGGTGATAAACCCAGATGTTGGCTCCGTCTCCGAGTCTTGATGACAAATGAGCTCCAGATGAATCTGATCCTGCACAAACGTCCTCTGAGCAGCCTGGTAGTTTGTGGTTTGTAGTTTGTAGTTTGTAGTTTGGGGAGTGAGCTGCAGGTTGTTTTATTTCTTTAATTTAATATTATTTATCTGATGAAATCTGTCCAGCTGGATTTTAGAGGATGATTTTGTCCAAACTCAAGAATTACCAAAACAAGTTATTTTAGCTACTTTTATATGTAAAAAGGCAAATTGATCCACGTGTGCAGCACTGTGGGGGTGGACCCCCCCCCCTCCACACACACACACACACACACACACACACTCCCCTTTAAGCCTCAGATGTTGCGATCTGCTGTGATTAACAGTAAGCAGCTTAAGAGAAGTCCCATATTTCACAACTCGAGGTGGATTAAAGGACGCAACAAACCAAGAACCTGCAGCACCGAGTCCGAATGTTCTGATGAAGGACCGGCTCTGTGGAGCCTGTTGGGTCGGACCAACAGTTTTTATGAAACGCTCACCGTGCACGTTAAACGCGGGGACGTGATGCAGTGACTTGATTAAAGCACCGGCTGCTCGCTCGGTGACTCGGGTTCAGACGTGTTTGTGTTTGCTCAAGTTCATCAGTTGTGGCGGCCATCTTGACATCTTTAGGTGTAGATGCACATCCAGTGGTTATTTCCAGTTTCGTTACAATCTGTCCCCTGGTCCGTGACAAAATGAACAAGAGAAACGTGCACTCCTGCGTGATGAATTACATCATCGCCCGTCTTTAGTGGCAGTGTCACCGTGCGCTCTTGGAAGCATCACAACCAACGCAGCTCGTTTTATTTCCTGTTGAAGAGCGGCTGATGTTTCAACATCTGCCGTGCTGAAGCTTTAATGTCGCCCCGGAGCTAACCTTTGACCTCTGAGTGGAGGCCAATAAGACCCTGGGGATCCATAAAGAACCTAACCAGTTTATTGATGAACTCATCTGTTCGTAAACCAGAAGTAGTGAGCTCAGTGGGACTTGTGATGTTTCAATCTGTGCACGAGATCAGGACAGAACGACCTCTAAGAGTTTTATCCATTTAGGATTCTGTCTTACACTCAGGACCTGACGTCTTTTATAATAATAATAATAATAATAATAAATAATAATAATAATAAAGCCAGTTTATTCCACTAATAGTGGATCAATCACATTTTCTATTGACCGTCTGTCCGTGCACGGCTGCACGAGTAAGAGATACTTTCTTTTGTGCCCTACAGGGAGGATGAGATCACTGTGTAGCTCCTTCATCATTTCTGATGACTCTTTCTGAGGCTCCTGATGCCCTGAAATCTCCTTGGGATGGTTTAATGTGATGCGCCCCCGGCCCCCCAGGCAGGAGTCAACATTAGCCTAATTGTGTGTGTGATCGAGCCGTTTCACTTCAGCCCGGCTGCTGTGGCCCGTTTGATGGCCGGTGGCTGGTTTTTAATGGATGGGATGGGAGGGTGCGTTGGGTGCCCTCCAAGAATCAAAGGAAGCGTTTGGAAGTGCACATCGGTGCATTTATCTGCCTCGCTGCCCCCGACGCCCCGCCCACAGCCTGTCCGTGTGCTTTCCTGGGGTAGAGTGGCTGTAGAGCGTGATGGAGTGCTGGATGAGAGTGTGTCTGCATCGTTGGTCAAATCCACGTTTGAAACAGCAGCTGTGAAGTTTGCTCCATCGAAGTTCAAGAAACGTGAAGAAAAGAACGAGTTAGTGTGAGATTGTCCTTCAGCCGCCCACCTCCTCCTCTGACCTCAATCTAATCCGTTCTCCTCCACCTGAGTCTCCTCTGCATGACTGCAGCACTTCCATTAAGCCCATTAATCCTGTCCAGACAGTCCCTGTCCCCTTCGCCTGTCCCCCGTCCAGCTTCTTAAAGAGCGCAGAGCTCCCGACACGGTGTCACAACACGTTACGCAGGAGGGAGGTGAAGCCATTAATGTATATTAGCCGGCTCGTTTGGATCGCCGGGGCTGCAGTGGCGCTGCGGCTCGCTGCGGTCACGTTGAACAGTTTTTCTCTGATGTCTTTTTGTTTTGTATCGTGTTAATGTGACATCTGAATATATCTGTTTATTACATAACAACTTCATGTTGGTGCTCATCTACATGTTTTATAAGATCTTTCTATTCAAAGTATTTACAGTACCCCCCCACCCCGATGTCGTCAGATTTAGCTTCCGTTCGAGACTGTCCCGTCCTTTAACGTGGTCTGGATCAACAGTTCTTCAGCTCCCTGAGGGTCTTTCTTTGGGTTTCCTTTTGGACTTCAGCTTTTTTTAATTCAGTCTCTTTATAAGAACAAATGATGATGATGATGATGAGAAAGCTTGGACCGAAAACCAAAAGCAGCCGAAGTCCAAAGAAAAGCCCGAAGAAGCACAGATGAAAACCGCTTTAAACAAATGAGCACAAAGTTTGGCTGCTTGGAATAAAAACCTAAAGAGTTTGGATCTGACTAAAACTAAATGTTATAACGTTTGACAACAATATTCATAACTTTATTTTCTGTAACGTTGCTCGACTGATGCTGGATTTTTGAGGAAATATTTTATTTGTCTTGCGTAATAAAATACGATCATGTGCTGGCCTGAAATATGAAATGTTATGTTGCTTGTATAGAAATAAAAAGAATCCCGTGTGGGTTTGGACTGTAGAGTGCTTTAAGTGTTTTTCTGTGTAAAATCTTGCCCCATGTTTTTCAGGATAGTTTGATCTTCAGGTTTCTGTCCCTGCGTTTGGACTAAAACTAGATGTTTTTTATTTTTACAATGCATTGCATATTCAGAAGAGGCAGCATGTAGGTATCTTAAACACCTCCTTGGCTGCATGAATCATGTTTTAGTTTCTTTTAATTTTTCTTTTTCAGGTTAAGATGTTTTGGATTTAGACTCCTGTGTTTATTAGTAATTATTATTATGATTGTTAATTATTAATCAGATATCTTTGAAGCTGCTGGTAGGAAGGAAAGCTAAAACTCTGTTTTGATCCATTTAATTTCAGTTCTGTAGGTTTGACTCTTTAATTTGGCATTAAATCCATCCACGCATCATTTTGAATTTAATTTGGAGTTCTTGTTCGTGTCACGTCAGCTGATCCATCTCGTCCTCGGTTCACCCGTCTCTGTTTGGCTGCATGGTTGTAGAAATGTGCACGGTTGTCCTCAGACCTTTGGAAAGAGTTCTCATCACCTCCCTGGTCTCTCCTCCTGGTTGTTAATCGCCTCTTTGTCTTCTGTCTGCAGGGGATGTGCTCTTTCAGATGGCTGAAGTGCACAGACAGATCCAGATCCAGCTGGAGGAGATGGTGAGCACGTGGTGACGTTGAGGAAAAACTCAAGCTGCCCATCAGGACGCAGACTTTGGGCATTGTTGCTCCATCACGGCACACGTTGGAGGAGAAGCTGTTTTCTCTGCCTCGGCTGCTCCTCACACGTCTGCAGCTTCGTTTCTTCACAGAAACTGGTTTAATGTAAATTACAGCATCACACAGAGAAATCTTCTTATTTCAGTTTCTCTGAGAGTAAATTGGCCACTTGAAGCAGCAACAAAAAAAATCTGCAGTCCTTTTGTGAAGGATCTTTTCCTGTTGGATGCGAGAAGCTGTTCTCTTCAGTTTGTTTATTGTTCTGTTGTTCTGGAGCTTGAGTTTTACCTTGAGTGGCGGTTTTATTTAGTGTTGTATATAATCTTGTTATTTGCGTACAGTAAATGTGTTGATTTAAAGAGAGAATATATGTTGCATGCGTCTGGACTCAGATCTGGTGCAGAATCAGACAATAGTCCCGGTATGCTCGCTGCATGCCGAACCTCCTCCGGTGGACCTCTGGGCGTGTCACCTCCAAACCCAGAACAAGCGTTCATCTTCTAATCACGGCTGCGGTGCAGCTCTGAAACAAGTGCCACTTTATAAATACTCTGCTGTGGTGCGGAGCAGACTGTCTGAGGTCGGCTGCATTCAGCTCATTGTTTCTGTGTTTGTTTTCAGCTCAAGTCGTTTCACAACGAGCTGCTCACCGAGCTGGAGAAGAAGGTGGAGCTGGACGCTCGCTACCTCAACGTGAGTCTCCTCCTCTTCACCTTCAGATTCCTGTGATTTTAACCCAAAGTGTGTTTGAGGAGCCCCAGAACCACGGCTCTGTTCAATAATTAGCTTAGCTCGAGGAGCCTCGGCTTCATGCTGGTACCTGAACCACGATGGGCCTGAATCAGTCCGCTCCACTTCAGGTCTCCCTCTCTGGGGGGCTCAGCTGAATCATCTAAAATCAACTCTTGTGGAATCAGTCGTTTAATTTTTCCACCAGCTCTTAGTCGCACCGCTGCACAGAGTTATATAAGTCACTTCCTGTTGGTTCTGTGGTTCTAAAGCCTGCCTGGTTCTGGTCCAAGGATGTAGAACTGAGTGGCTGTTAAATCTGTGCAGTGCATTCTGGGAACTGGCTGAGCACAAAGCTCATCAGTGGAAGGTTTTTGTTTTGTTGGGGCAATCCCTGAAATGAATGCACTGAACACCCCCCCCCCCCCCGACTTTGTGCTGCCCCCCTCAGGCGGCCCTGAAGAAGTACCAGATGGAGCACAAGAGCAAAGGGGAGAGTCTGGAGAAGTGCCAGGCGGAGCTGAAGAAGCTGCGCAGGAAGAGCCAGGGCAGCAAGCACTCGTCCAAGTACGGAGACAAGGAGATGCAGGTGAGTGCACGGTGCTCGTGCACAGGAAGTGAGTCGATGATGTCGTGTTTATGTGCCAGGAAGCTACCGTCCTGATGACTTCAGGCCAGATAACCTGTCAGTCAGGAAACGTCATCCTTCACTTTGTCTGTATGTAAACAAACTAGATCAACTCAGGTGGGGGGGGGGGTCACTGAATATTCAGAAGGTCTGTGGAGCTGAGGTGAAGTTTGACTGTTTGAATCTTTAGCTCAGCTCAGGAGGTGAGTTTATGCAGAGTTAATCTGGACCTCTTCTCTCACGTTAATCTCATAACGGAGGCTCCGGTTGTTCAAACTGTTAAAAACAGACGTCAACATCTAACGAGCAGTCGCTCAGACTGGTTTCTGCTGGGATTTGTTGTAATGTGCTGGTGCAGGTGAACAGGAAGCGTCTCGCGCTCGTGTTCAGGTAAGAGTCTGAGCGGAGGTGTGATGAGACGGAGCGGGCCTGTGGGTGTTCTGATGACTCATGGTGGGTGGGGGCTCTTACACAAGAGCTTCCTGTGTGTCCCGTGAGCTGCACAGAGATCTGTTCCTCACGAGCCCCAGTTTGACTTTAAAACACCGAGAGAACGGTCGTTACCTCAAACACGACCCGCTCCAACAAACTGACTCAGCTGATTTAAAGGTGTTTACAGATAAACATTAATATACAGTTAACAACATCTGTCCATTTTCTGTCACCTGCTGAGTTTCAGGGAGCAGGTGTCCAGTCCATCACAGGGACACTGGACAGGTGTCTCTGTGATGGACTGGAGACATGTCCAGGTGGCCCTGTGATGGACTGGAGACATGTCCAGGTGTCCCTGTGATGGACTGGAGACATGTCCAGGTGTCCCTGTGATGGACTGGAGACATGTCCAGGTGTCCCTGTGGTGGACTGGAGACATGTCCAGGTGGCCCTGTGGTGGACTGGAGACATGTCCAGGTGGCCCTGTGGTGGACTGGAGACATGTCCAGGTGTCCCTGTGATGGACTGGAGACCTGTCCAGGTGTCCCTGTGATGGACTGGAGACCTGTCCAGGTGTCCCTGTGATGGACTGGAGACCTGTCCAGGTGTCCCTGTGATGGACTGGAGACCTGTCCAGGTGTCCCCTGCTTCCTGCTCAATCCCTGCTGGAGGTCAGCACCAGCTTCCTGTCACTCTACAGGACAGGACTTCCTGAACGGATGCACATTTCACAAACACCTCTTTCATTTTAAATAATCTGGATTATTCAGTTTTTCCTGATTAGTCTGTCTCTGTCCACAGGATTCACCCTGTCACTCACAGACACTGAGACTGAGGACATTTTGTAACGATCCGTTACTTTTAGGAGGCAAAATGAAACGGATGAACAATTGTTGCACTTCTCATGGGTTTGCTGCATGAAATGAATAAAAGAAGTGAAGAAGGAGATGCTAGATTAAAGCAGGATATTTATTAGAGCTCTATCTCCCACAACTCTGCAATATTTGGGTTTATTTCACATTTTCTGTGTTTGATTGCGATTGGGAGCTCCAGAGTGAGCAGCTGGTTTTATTAGACTCCGTGTGTCTCCATCTCAGACAGGAGAGGTTCCTGAGTGTGAAGGAACTCTTCAGAGCAGCCACACTTTTATCTCCTCCACTAAGCTCCTCTGCATGAGTGTGCGTGAGTGTGCGTGAGTGTGCATGATGTTTGACGCCCCTCTGATGATCACGGCTCGTGTGAAAGACAACCTCACACACCTTCAGCACAGACGGTCACAGGTGACCTCTCTCTCGGACTCAGCAGAGTTTCGGCACCAGTGCTTCAGAACATCTTTATGGTGTAATAAGTTAATAAGTGCTGGTTCTGCGTAAGCGCACGTTTAAACTTATGGTCAACAAAACAGCTGCAGCAGCTTCTAACGAACAGATTCACTGTGGAGAAGAACGTTTCTTCTGGAAACAGCTGATGTTCTGCAGGTAAAACTAAATTAATCCACAGAAGCACCTGCTGATGGCATGTTGGGTTAAAGAAATTATTCACGTTTTTCTTTTGAATGATGACATCATTTCTCAAAAATATAACCACACCACTGCTGCACAGCTGTTTTACAACCGTTAATCATTTTAGCTGGTTGTAGGGGTGAAATAAACCTGCTGACTTCCTGTGCATCTTTTAAAACCAGTTCTTCAGCTTTAGTGTCAAATTAATAAAACTGCACTCAACAGTAAGATTAAGAGTCGTGCATGATTTGGGACAGATGTGAAAACCACTGCTTTGCATAAACCAGCACTGTTTCTGGTCGCAGGCTTGAAGAGACGTTCCTACAAGCTGTTATTGTTGCTGCAGCAGGAACTTTAGGACACGAGTTGGACAGCGTTCGACTTTTACTGGGGGTCAAAGGTCATCCAGCCCTGATAAATTAACTCCTCCATCATTCTGATGGGGGACCTGTCCACCCTGGATGATTGACAGCTGCCTGAAACGTCAGGCCGTCGCTCTGAACCCTGGAAGCTGCTCGTCCTCCGCAGTCGCTGCGTCATTAGTTGCCCCCAGCTTCCTGTGGGAAACGGCCACTTACAGCAGCCCGTCATCGCTCGGCCTCCGTGTGGGCGACTGTTCCCGCATGAAGAACATTGTTCAACTCTCACTCTAATGACCACATCCTGGCAGCGGACGGATTCTTTCAAATGATAATTTCTTCCACCGGTCGCTCATATTTAATCTGAAGATGTTTGGAGTGCACAGAGCTCACTGGGGGGGGGGGGGGGGGACACATAACGCTGATTTATGGAAAAATGGTTGAAAAGTACGTGATAAAATAACAGAAGAGCCGTGTTGTAACAGAGTGGGTGTAGTGGGGTCGTCATCCAGCGTGAGGTGGTCCAACTGGAATCTGAACTATCCAAAGATTGTCACTGGACCGAAACCATCATAAGACCATAACAACCAGCTAATAATATTGAAACAGAAACCAGGAAGTCATCTCCCACTGAGCCAACATCTAAAGATAAAAATAACTGATTCAAGATTGTGTTTACTCTTTACACTAATAATCTGTTCATGCAGCAGCTCGGCTGAAACAAAGTGAGTCCTCGGTGGTTTTGACTTCAACGTTTACAGGTGATAAATGTTCAGCTGGTTGTCGTGCGCTCAGGTGGTAAATGTTCAGCTGGTTGTCGTGCGCTCAGGTGGTAAATGTTCAGCTGGTTGTCGTGCACTCAGGTGATAATGTTCAGCTGGTTGTCGTGCGCTCAGGTGGTGAATGTTCAGCTGGTTGTCGTGCGCTCAGGTGGTGAATGTTCAGCTGGTTGTCGTGCGCTCAGGTGATAAATGTTCAGCTGGTTGTCGTGCGCTCAGGTGGTGAATGTTCAGCTGGTTGTCGAGCACTCAGGTGGTGAATGTTCAGCTGGTTGTCGTGCACTCAGGTGATAATGTTCAGCTGGTTGTCGTGCGCTCAGGTGGTAAATGTTCAGCTGGTTGTCGAACGCTCAGGTGGTGAATGTTCAGCTGGTTGTCGTGCGCTCAGGTGGTG